CAGCCTCAAGAGCGCCGCCAGGCCCAAACGATAATGCCGTTTGGGCCTGCCCGTCGGGTACTGGTCCAAGATCAGGCCCTGAGGGCCTGTACTATCCAAAGGTCGGGCCTTTAGGCCCTGATGTGTCCCTCCGCCCTAAGTCCGGACCCGTGTGCGTCGAAGATGTAACATGCAGGTTCCAGGATTGAACCTGCAAGACAACCAAGTGTTGTATATCTACTCCCGCGTGTTGCCTGAGCCCATCCGGGGACACCTGGTGACCGAAGCAAAGTCGGGAAAATATAATCATAGGCAATTTCGCGACCGTGCTCTGCAAAGGGAGCAAATGACTTCTCAAGTCAAAAACTCCTATGCAGTTGTAGTTAAGTCTGGAGGAGGAGGAGGAGGAAAGACGTACGATGGTAAACGAATTCTCTGGCGACAAAAGCGCTAGGACCACACCCTTGTTGTTTTCGATGATGACATCGTGGAAAGTGGCCGATAGAAGATAGGGATAACAACAGTGACTCCGAGAAGGGGGAATTCACTGTTGTTGTGGCCACCAAGGGAGGGCCACCAAAAAATGCAAAAAGGAAGAAACCACGACTGGTTCCATGGCACCCTAGCATTGCCGAAGGGAAGCCTTGGTTGAAGATGGGAATGACTCGCGAGACTTGGCAGGAGCGCATGGACAATGCGCAATGTCTTAAGTGCGACACTCCAGGACACGCGATCGCATATTGCCCTATGATCCGGAACCCAAAAGCGAGCAGCCAGTAGGAGTAGCATCTGCTCCTACTGAGATAACGGGTAAGGATGAACAGACAGGTAAGGCGCCAACGAACCTTCCTACCCTTTTTCTCATATGGCAGAGGATGATTCTTCCTTAGCCCATCATCCAAACCGCTCTGACATTGTCTTATATTCTATCTCTCTCGATGATTCCCTTGATGAGCTAGGTAATGAATTGCTAGCCTTACGTAGCTCATGGGCTCGAAAAGCAAAGTCTAAGGGCGAATTGTTGTTTGCAGATGTTGAAATTGCACGAACACGAGTAGGTGTGTTGTTCGACCCCGGATTGACGAGGTCCTACATATCCGAGAAAGCAATCCGCAAGTTGCATCTCGGAATGAAGGTAAAAGACTTGTCTCGACCTATCACGTCCATATTAGTGGACAAGAGTACAATCATTGTCTCCCAGTATGTCGATCGTACTAAGTGTCAGTTTCGGACTAGGGAAGGAAATAAGACTATGCATGAGTTATCCTTCCTAGTTGAAAATAATTTGCCTTTCGATCTCATTCTGGGTATGGACTGGCACAAGGAAGCCAACCCGGACATTGATTTCAAGGTAAGGTTGTGCAACTTAAGGATGCACAATCTGAAATGAAACCTATCAAGTTATATCATAAGTCTGGCTTTGACTCTAGTTTGTTTTTTTGTTGTACGAGTTATCCAGCTTTTCGTTCGATGGTTTCAAAGAAAAAGTTGGAACAGGAAGTTATGATGGTGTTAGTAAAGAAAGTCGGTGAGTCTTCTTCTTTTTGCCCTCCAACTATTGAAAGACTTCTCTTTGAGTTTAAGGATCTTCAGACCGAACCTTCCGGAATCTCGGAACGTGCTATTAAGCACACCATTGAGATCATTCCGGGTAGTAAGATTCCCAAGGGCCCTATCTATCGAATGTCTCCCAGGGAACTTGAGGAATTAAAAAAACAACTGCAGGACCTTACTGACAAGGGATGGATTCGCCCTAGCTCATCTCCCAATGGTGCACCTGTCTTGTTTGTGCCCAAAAAGGAAGGTGAACTGCATCTCTGCATTGACTATCGAGGGTTGAATGTCGTCACTGTCAAGAACGTCGAACCGCTTCCTCGCATTGACGACCTACTTCATCAACTGCAGGGTTGTAAGTATTTCAGTAAGATTGAGCTGAAGTCCTATCAGCAGCTGTAGGTGACACATACAACCACTTTGGTGAATTAGGAGTACACTAATATAGCACCCAGAGTTTAGCACCATTTGGTGAAGGATAGCAGGTCAACACTGAAACCCAACACAATATACATCGATGTGACAATTGCAATAAATATGAGCTAGAGCGATATACAGAAAACTAAGTTGCAAAATCACGCAGAAGTCCAGATAGTCATGTACCAAGCAGAGAGCTCAAATGCACTAAGATTCCATCCAAATAAGAGCAATACAATGAACTCGTGAGCAATTGTTCAAGCCCTGCCACACCAACGCAGTATTCAATGTCACTCCTCTCTGTCTGGCGCCCAGCGCCCAGCCTACTCTACTTATCCTACCTAGCCTACTTACGTTCATGCAACAGGCTCACTTCGACTTTGAAGACCAATGTACATGTCTTCAACACCAATGCCGACCTCCCACATACACCAGTTACGTACTCTCGTCTCCCTCATCACCCCCTGTAAACCCACTTCTGCGCCTCCTCCCGAACACCCCCGTCACCCTCCTCCTCTGCCTATGCGCCCTGCAGCCCGGCTATGGCCTCTAGCGCCCCGCTGCCCTGCAGCGCCCCTCGCCTATCAGCGCCTGCGCGCGCCCCAGCCAGCAGATGCACATGCAGACACTTGCGTGCCAGCGCAGCAGCGTGTCCGCATTGCCTGCGTAGGCCAGAATGCCCTTCCCTGGCTGGCTTGCTTCCTTTATGGAAGTGACAGCTGCTGCTGGACTCCCTGGGCCTGGCCGTGGAAGTTTCCAGTAGCTTCTGGTCGGGCCCCAATATCTGTGCCCAGGTCCATCTCGACAGTTGAGGGCCTGGGTCCTTGTTAGTTGGGCACACCCAGAATATTCCAGGCTCTGAAGGTTTGCTGCATTTGCAGTGGCCCGCAGGGTAGATACGACGACAATGCTGCTTTCTTGTTGGCCCGTGGCCACTTCGTGATGTGTCGGCCTCACCATGTGTGTGCCCAGGGCACAACCACCCGGGCCCTGGGCTCAACTGCCTGGCGCAGTTGCTTCTTCTGGAAGAGCCCAGGGTAAGGCCCAGGTTGCACTTCAACCAACTGTCGTGCAGCAACTGTCTGAGACCCGCATTGGAAAATTCTGAGATAAGGGCCTCTCGTGAATATTCAGGCCCGCCTTCACTTAGGGTGGGCACGAGGCTTGCTGGGGGCCACATTCCAGAACATATGCATGTTGCCAAGGGCCCCAGAGTCCTCAGACAATGATAGATTATAAGACAAATGATTTCCGACAACCTGTCCTGAGTCCAGGCACTGCCAGTTTATAACATGGAAATTTCTCTGTTGGGTAAGGAGTACTAAGGACATGCAGAACAGAGTCATCTTTTCCTTTTTTTGAATTTTTTTCCCTTTCACTGCTCTGGACCGCAGCCACCCTGGTGGCCACCCATGCAGTGTAGCCAGGCCGGTGCTCTGGTTGGGCACCGGGCTACCCCAGTGCAGTTCCATGCCAGGAAATTTTGAGGCCCGGTTTCACTGTGGCCAGCCCGGCCCAGCCGCAGTGCGGGTATTGGGACGGCCCAACTACCAAAAAAAAAAGAAATGGGGCCTACTGAAAACCGGTAGGATCAATTGTTTTTTGGGTGGAGGTAGGCTGTGGATTGTGATCAATCAGGGGCCCAGATCTGGGATCCTATACCAGGTGCTGGCCCTTGCAGGGGCCTGACGGGGCCTGGCTGTGGTGTTCAAATTTGAGCGCCTTCACCAGGCATTCCTGCGTGTTGTTGCAAGCACCATTGCCCACCTGACTCCCAGATGAAGACGGATAGGAATGTGATCTTCTTCTTCTTCCTCCTCGATTATTTTCTTCATTTCTCTTCACCTTCACTCGTCTTCTCCCTCGTTGTAGTTCTCCAATCTTCTTTTTCTTCATGATCCTTCTTCTTTTTCCTTCCTCATTCATCGTGGCACCACTACGCTACTCCCGCCAGAAAAATGTGGGAGAGAGAGAGAGCAAGGCAGAGAGAGAGCGAGGCAGACAGAGACCAGTTCCCCTCCCACCATCTCCACTCACTGCCCCCATTGCTGCTATTTCTTTTCTCTCCAGTTTTTGTTTTTTACTCTTTTCTCTTTTTTTAGTTTTCTTTCTCCGTTTTTCCCTTTCTTTCTTGTCTCATACCTGGAAACTGGCAGCAAGGCACGCGCTTTTACTGATTGAATGATCCAGTCTGAAGAGGCAGGAGGGATTCCAACCGCGTACCCAAACAGAAACTTGGGTGTTCGAAGCTGTTAACAGTCAATAAGAAACACCACCAAACAAAAGGCTGAAAAGATCAGTAGAATTTCAGGGAGAACAAACAAATACATGGCCACTAACCAGCAACTATCACCCTCCTCACACTTCTCTAACGGACCTATCAGACTCCTGGAATTTTCTTGAATGAAATGCCTCTTCAGATGCCAGCCCATGGTGTGCCGAGGCAGATATCTGTTGCAGCCTTGCAGGGTTGCCGCATCTGCCACTTTTCACACAATTTTTTTTTCTTTTTCTTTTTCTTTTCTTGAAAAGAAAAAACACAGTCAAGCTTCTCCTCATATGGGTAACAGCTGTATTTTTACTACCCTATTTTCTTCTCCCAATATCATTCCTTCCTCACACTAGCTATCTTGCCTACCTACTAGCATGGGAACCAATCAGTCCACAACCCCAAGGCAACCCGACAAACAACACATGCTCGAAAGCAGAGCAAAGAATTAGGCCGTGTATAATCAACAAAACCAACAAGACATATCCAACCACAGAAAGAGAGAATAGCTCGCTAGTGTGTGTGTGTGTGTGTGTGTGTGTGTGTGTGTGTGTGTGTGTGTGTGTGTGTGTGTGTGTGTGTGTGTGTGTGTG